TCCCTTTCATTTCTCTGCAGCTAGGATCCTTATGCTTCTTGAGTTCTACTGGCTTTCCCAAGCTTTCCAGGAAAGAAGTGTCTCGTTAAAATCTCTGATTCACTTTTGAAAATACAAGGCCAAATTACTCCATGCCTATTATGTCAAAAATTAGCCCTGGTATTGGTCCCAATGGCTTAAACAACTGGTCCAATAAACAATTTGGATCATACTGACAAAATATTCCAATTCACTACCTCATTCAATTCTAAAAGATGATTTAACATCTCCTGTCTACAGATATATTCTCTAGAGACTGAAGAGACTTCCACTGTAGTACTAATGCAATAGAATAATTAAAAAATTTTTCAAACTGGTAAGGACAATCCAATGAGGATAGACAAAAAAGGAAATGCCCAAAGAAAAAGAGACACTTGTTTTAAAAACACTTATCGTAAAAGCTTATATTAACATTTACATAATCTTTAATTAAAAAAGAAAGGTTTCAAAACATACTGGTCCAAATCCTGTTTTAGGATGCTACAGTGCTGAGCTAATAGGCGTGCAACACATTTCCAGACTTTAGTCAGTGGAATGGTCTCATACCAAGACCAACTGCCAAGTCCCTTGGCAGGTATATCCTTTATTTGAGTGGTCTGGCATCAGTGTACAGAAACTGTCTCCATAAGATGAAGTCCAGAAAGATCACATGGTACCTACTATGCTCCAGGCTCTTCTTGATGGCTATGAAGCACAGGTTACTAGGAGAAAAGTTTCTACCTGAAGGATGTTAACTTAGCAGATAGAAAATATTTCTGAGCCCGGCCAGTGTAGTTCAGTGGTTCAGTATTGACCCATGTACCAAGAGGTCACCAGTTCGATTCCTGGTCAGGGCATATGCCCAGGTTGTGGGCCAAATACCCAGTGAGGGGCATGCGGAGGTAGCCAACTGATGTTCTCTATCATTGATGCTTCTATCTCTCTTTCCTACTCCCTGCATCTCCCTCTAAAAGCAATAAAAAAAAATTTTTTAAAGAAAATATTTCTGAATTATTCTCAACTCCCTTTCATTTAGCATGAAATCATAGGATTATATAACTGAATTATGACTTTCTTTTAAATTCTCAACATTTCTCTGTAGGTCTATTGTTTCTAGACATTTTCCTATCTCCCCTTTCAAAACTTCCCTTTCTTGTACTAGAAATGCTGATACTCAAGCTAACAGCCAGTTAATTCTATGCTCTTGGTTTCCATGTAAACTTTACTGTTTATCTGAATTTTGTGAATTCAGAAGTTAATTAATTCTATATATTTTTAATGAGGGCTTGCTTTATACTAGGCATTGAGATGATGGGAATACAAAAGTAAACTTTTCTAAGCCCCTGTCCTCATAAGGCCTACCTTCCACTAAAAGGGAAAAACAGGAAAGAAGAAAACTCAAATTCAATTCAGTTCAATTCACATTAATCTCCTATATGTTAAGAAATTTTTCTCCCTTAGGAAAACACTTTGACTTTTATAAAGAAATTACCTATAAAAGAAATTTAGTCATTGAAACTTTTCTTGAAAGAATCTGCTGTCAAGCAACCCTCCTAAGACACACAGAATGAAGTATTACCTCCACTTAGAAAAAGTGAGTGTCTTCTCTCCCCTCAGCCTATAGAAAATTCATGTGAAATGTATTTATATTGTTTGATAAGGTAATTCATTAATTTCAAAAGTTTGACATTTTGTTAAGAAAATCTGTTCTCTATAGAATTAGCAAGGAAATAGGTGAAGGAAACTCGATTGTAAGTCAAAACTTCTGCAGGGGTCACTCATGCATTTCTTTAGGTACAACCCTTACGATATAATGATATGTATAGCTCAAATTTGAAATACAGTATCATAGAAACGTCAGCTATAGCCTGCTAATTGCAACTGCAATATGTTAAACGAATGGCAATGAATGTTTTGGTGCAGTAAGCTCAATAGTGGATGATTGAAAAAACAAAATCAGTAGCATCTGAACTCCTGCTAAAAGTTATTCTACTATGGGAGAAGAGAAAGACAAATGGAGACTTCAGAAACAAATCTTTGTGAAGGCTTACTCATTTTTCAGTCTCCTGGTAAAGTTGCCTATGGGCCTTGTTTCCCATAACACTAACATGTTTCTTCTGATTGACTAGAAAGAGTGTGCAACTAAAATATAATTCTGTTCATGTTCACGTTCATGTATGTGCGGGAGGTGTTTCCTGCTAAGGTACGCCAAGAAGTAAAATAGAGTAGGCAGGTTCATTTAGAGAAGGGGACTGGTGAACTACATCCAACTACTGTATGGCCCTGCATGCTTCATGATGACAAATAACTACCCTTGTAGGATGTAGAATGGGTAAAGGGAATTCGCACACTGGTCTTCTCAGCTGTGGCTTGTCTGGCATGCAACATTCTAACCCAAAGAAATTTTGGTTGGTATTGTGCATGTCACCTTCTTTCACACCCTCAGGATAAAGTCATTTGAAAAGCTTCCCATCTTTACAGCATCTGCCCCTTTCCATAACTTACCTCATCATCCTTCTTGGCTGTGTTTGCTAGTGAGAGGACTACACATGTCCCCATCATCTTAAGAAATATAACACCAAGACACAGACTTCTCAAGGAGAACTGACTCCAAAAGAGTGAGATCACTAATAAGCATGGACAGTGATTCCAGGGAGTGCAAGGCCACCAATATGTGTGAACTTATTAATCATAATGATTATTTTTCCTAAGAAAAGGATTTCCTTAGTCAAACCTCCAGGGCATCAGATCAAAGGGAGACACTGCCACAGCTAGACTATGTTTTCCAGCCAAACGTCACAGAAAGGAGAATCTAGACAGTGTCCTGGCAACTGTTTAACACAGCAGCAGTCCATAACAGACAGGAAAAGAATCCTTTAGGCTGACTTTTTTCAAGTCTCCCTTCTCCTTATTTTTTAAGGACAGTTTGAGAGTGATGTCAAAACCCTAGGAGATATCCTTGGTAGGTACTCTGTAAGAATTATTGAACCTGATGGGTTGTTGTTTTTTTTTAAGACTATATATTTATATTTAATTATCATAAAAAGTATATTCCAAATCTACTGGCAGAGTATATGGTCAATTTTCTATGTCCAGTTTGATGAAAGTCTCTATAAACCTTACCAGGACACTGTATAGTCATACTATAGAGGATACTTTATTAATAAAATCACAACAGGAGAAATTTAGTTTTATGCCCTGGAAGTTCTCCCAAAATCTATTTTAAAATTATAAAAGTGACTATTAACACAAAAGAAGAAGGAAAAAAAAAAGCCACAAAACCCAAACCCCACTATGTCAGAAGCACAGCAAGACACACAGGAATCATGTGAAATGAGAAACCAGAAAGCACACCAAAAGATTTTATGGATTACAGAGAAACAAGATGTGAGAATAATTGTGTAAAAAAAAGAAAAATGAAAGCAAACAAACCAAAAAACATTTTTATAGTTAAGGAAAGCTGTTTCTCACCGTTCTGAACAAAATGGCTGAACTAAGATCATCTGATTGGCTATGCCCATATACCCTCCTCCTCATCCTATGGGGAGAGAGAGGACAAAGAGAACAATGCCCCAGAGCAGCATGGGAGTGAAAAAGAGTTGGTTAGTATTTAAAACAAAGACATAGGCATAAGTAGAAGAAAATGGTTTCTAATTTCTTGACTCTTTTTATATTTGATTCCAATTCCATAAACTACCAAAATTAGTAATTAGTTTGTCATTACACTTCTAAGCTCCCCCACCTTTCTGAGATGCTGTCTCTATCCCAGGGCTTGATCTGGGCCAAATGATCAAGTTGGAGACTTTTCTTTATTATTTGCCTTTTCTTCAACCTTTCTCCATTTGTTTGCCTCCCACTACTCTCAGGCATCCAATTACTTGTATTTTTTATCAAAACCAGTTTCAAGGAAAGGATCTAATACTCATCTTGTATACATTGGCATAAATGTAACCCCAGGTATCCAGAAGCAGGAGGAGAAAGCAAAATGACTTCTTGGCAGAAAAAGCCTGCTGACCTCAGGCAGACAGCTCTCCATTTTGTCTACATTAAAGATTGGCTTGCCTGAAATATAAGGTTTGCCTCAACTGGTTTAGGAAATGTCATCAGACTATGACTATACCTTCTGACTCCTAGAAAAAATTTGCAATTTGGATATTATTGCTGCTTTCATCTGCAATATTTCTTCTTCCTCTACTAAGACAACACCATGGCCATCATTTAGTGGAGATGTTTAGTGGGGGGTTTCCCTTGACTTTTTGATCATATGGATGTAATTATTTAACTGTTATCCCTCCCCCCACCCCCCGCCCCAGCTATATATTTTAAGATTGAGTGTGATGGAGATGTTGAAATCCTATTTTTGGCAATGGGATATGAGGTAATCTATTCACCACTCTCCCCCATCCATCATTTTCAAGATCTTGGGAGAGTTCCCTTCTTTCAAAAAACTAGTGTTGAATATGGTTCCCTTCAGACTCATCAATGCCTCTTTTGCATTGATGAGAAGTTGAAGGCAACAATTTTCCTTGAAATGACATATACTGGCGGGATCCACCAAGGTAAGGGAGTGAAGAAACTATGTCTCAACCTTCATATTTAATAGATGACCAGCAGAGACTTCATTGAGCTCACAAGACTCCTATTTTTCTAATAAGGCATTATTTCTTTAATAAGAAAAGCAGGACAGTTACAAATTAGTATGCATCTCTGAGAAGATTAAACATTTTTTTCTCAACCCAAATTCAAGTGGATTATTTATTGTCCTCAAATCTTTTGAATGACTCCTCTTAAAATACTCAGAATCATCCAACACCTTCCTGTACAGAAATGGAATCTGTATTTTTTTAAAAAGTGAAGGATTTTAAAAAACTGACTATTTCTATTTTTCTAACTTATACCCTAGAATCTGTAGCATGACAGTACAAAACACATCAGAATAAAAGCATATCAGCTTTTTATAAAACATTCAAGAGCAGACTTACCTGGTCTGGGGAGGGTTTATGATTGCTTTGATTGGAATGAGAGGATTTGAAGTGGTCGTCCTCATAGTTGTCAGCCATTAGCTTCATTCGATTTTGTGTCTAAGAGGAAATGATACACAAGGTTAAATTTAGATAAAAATTCTATGACACCATAAAGTACCAAATGCCTTAAGAATGTCATAAGAAAGGATAAAATTAATCCTGTCTGAAATAGAAGAAACAGGATTTCTAAGAATATTGGGGGGAGGGGAGTTTAGGCACAGCTATGGGCTGAATTGTGTTCCCTCAAAATTCATTTTGGAGCCCTACCCCCCAATAGGACTATATATGGAGACACAGTCTTCAGGAGGTATTGTTAAATGAGGTTACAGGGGTGGCCCTAGTCAGACAAGACTGTGGCCTTGTAGAAAGAAGAGGGATATTCCCCCCTCTTTTTCTCTCTGCCATGTGAGGACACAATACGAAGGCGGCTTCATCAGGCCCCAAAGAGATCTCATTAGGAACTGAATCAGCTGGCACCATGACCTTGGACTTCCCAGCCTCCAGAACTACAAGAAAACAAATTTCTGTTGTGTAAGCCACCAACTCTATGGTATTTTGTTATGGGTAGCCTGAGCAAACTAAGACAGGCACCTAAATTGGTAGAGGATTTGTGTGTGTGGGGGTTGGGGGTGGGGTGGGGGGGGGTAAAGAATAATCTCCTCAAATTAAGTACTTTAGCAATGTTTGTTTTTGTTTTTTAAAATAAAACCTGGATTATACTACAAATAGGATAGGACTCTGTAACTATTTTTTCACTTCATGATGTACAGATCCATCTTTCCATGTCATTACAAGAACTACTTTTTCTTTTAAACAACTACTCCATTTTTGGGATGTTATGTAACATGCAGACCATAAATATTAGGAAAAAAGTTATTATCTGTAAATGAAATTATTATATACCTAGAAAATCTCAGACATTCAACTGAAAAACTACTACAACTTACAATAAAGTTCAGTAAGGTGATCAGACAGAAGCTACACATATAAAATTCAATATCTTTTCTTTAAACAATCAATACATAATTCAGGTTTTGAAAATATGTCAAAGATTCTGAAATCCTCTTCTTCAGCCCTAGACGAGAAGTTAATTATTACCATTTCCTTTTTTCTCAATATTTACCAACAAGGAGGACTGGAATGATGATTTAATGTGATTGGTTAAGCACTGAATGCATGGATTTTTGTTGTTGTTGTTAATCCTCACCCGAAGATATATTCCCATTGATTTTTAGAGAGAGTGGAAGGGAGGGAGGAAAAAGGGTGGGGTGGGGTGAGGAGAGAGAGAGAGAGAGAGGGAGAAACATTGATGTGAGAGAGACACATCGATTGTTTGCCTCCTGCACGACCCCAATCAGGGCCAGGGATCAAACCTGCAACCCAGGTACATGCCCTTGACCAGGAATTAAACCCAAAACCTTTTGGGCTGTGGGCCGAGGCTCTAACTGCTGAGCCAAACCAGCCAGGGCTATGAATTTTACACACACACACACACACACACACACACACACACACACACAGTGGAACTTGGTTCTCAAGCTTAGTTCATTCTGGAAGGCTGTTCAAGAAGCGATTTGTATGAAATCCAAATCACTTTTTCCCGTTAGAAATAGTACAAATTGAATTAATTCGCTCCAGACCCCAAATTATTCCGTTTTAACCTTTCTTTTTTAATCTATAAACACACACTTTTCATAAATTTATCAAATCACCCCTGCTAGCCTTAAAGGGATCGCTCTCAGCACTCGTCCAGGGTGTCTTTCAGGAGGTCAGCATGTGGCATGTTCACTTTTTCACACATCACTGCCTCCGAATTGCTGTCACCAGCTAACTGCTTTTTGTTTATCCAAATCAACAACAGTTTTTCTACCTTTCAATTGCTTATGATCATTGTTTTTTCACACCCTTCCCAACATCAGCACTCTTGGTGACCTCATTATGTTTTAAAATTGTGCTAGTCATCCATTTTGCCAGCAAGAAAAGTAAAAAAAATCCCAAACAACAAAACAAAAGAACCTCACAAAAATACTCATAGAACAATTTTTCTGAGATGTTAACAAGGCAGAGTTTAGCTGTAAACTGACTCATACTGGCGCATTATCCTTTGTGACCTGAGAGATACTTTTTGTCATGCTGATGTATCAGCAAGAAAGGATTGAGAACATTTCTTTCCTTAAAAATGTTTTTTATTGATTTTTTAGAGAGAGAGAAAGGGAGAGAAAGGGAGAGAGAGATAGAAACATCCATGTGAGAGAGAAACATCAATCGGCTGCCTCCTGCACGCCCCCTACTGGGGATCGAGACCGCAACCTGGGCATGTGCCCTGACTGGGAATCGAATTGGAACCTCTCAGTCCACGGTGAGAACATTTCTTTCTTGAACAACTTGGGTAAGAACTGAATTGTTCAAGATGGGAGACTTTCGAGAACCAAGGTTAACCAAAATTAACATTTTATATATACATTATATACATATACATGTAAATATTACATATATAGAACATTTTACAAAATTCACTTTGCAGTACAAGCAATCAGAAAATGCAGGGTACATTATACATAAAATCAAATAGCAATATAGATTGCACTAATAAAATATTGTTATAAGCTGAAGTTTTAAAAACATTAAAAGTAAACTTGCTAATATCATATGATTTAAAGATTTCACTGTAGATAATCTGAAAAATAAAAATAAATCACATATATATATACAGCTTTGATCAGTGATAACCACTGTTAATATTTAAGTGTATTCATTGAGCCTTTTCCTATGAAAATAAAAAGTGGCATACTGTTCTGATTTATTCTGTGTCTATTTCTGCTACAATGTGTTGTTTTTATTTATTTTTTCTTTATTGATATTAGAGAGAGAGAGAGGAAGAAATAGAAACATAGATGACAGAGAACATCGATTGGCTGCCTCCTGCATGCCCCACATTAGGGACCAGGCCCACAACTTGGGCATGTGCCCTGACCAGGAATCAACCCCAGCGACCTCTTAGTGCATGGGTTGACACTCAACCACTGAGCCACATTGGCTGGGCACAATATGTTATTTTTAAAAAATATTTTTTTCTTTATTGATTTTAGAGAGAGGGGAAGGGAGAGGAAGAGAGAGAGAGAGAGAGAGAGAGAGAGAGAGAGAAACACTGATGAGAGTGAACATCGATTGGCTACCTCCTGCATACCCCTCACTGGGGATAGGGCCCACAACCTGGGCATGTGCCCTGACTGGGAATGGAACCAGCAATCTCTTGGTACATAGGTCGACCCTCAACCAGTGAGCCACACCAGTCAGGCTACAATATGATATTTTTAAAAATTACTATATCTTACAGTATATTTTGATATCTGGTAGGACATGGCGTCCTTACCCTCCACTAATTCTGCTTTAAATGTGATTGGGTTATTGTCAACACATTAAAATTAATGTGTTGAATTAAAAACATTTTGTCTGGTTCCATAAAAAACTTTATGGAGATTTTTCTTCCATATTTTTTCATGCAATGATGCCCGAGCAAGAGCTTTAGAGTCAAATTGCCTGGGCCTGAATTCTAGTTCTGCTTCTTACCAGCTATCTAAACTGGGGCAAACTACTTAAATAGTCTGGGCTTCAGTTTTCTTACCTTTAAAATAAGAATAATAATAGTTTCTCCCCATAACACTGTTACGAGGATTAGCCAATTGACCTAATATAAGCCCCTAGAAAGCTGCCTGGCAAAAAATCAACACCCTCAAAATTTTAGCTATTACCATCATTATAAACATTTTTATGTCATTAAATATTATTCTAAAATCTGGCTGCATAGTATTCAATTGAATGAATGTTTAACAAGTCCATATTGTTGGGCATTTCTTTCTTTATATTTTCATCTATTAATATATGCACATTTCTAAGCCAGTTCCTCCCTCTACTATAAAATGAGAGCAAAGGAAATAGGTATCAAGAATGATCTGTGATCTCAAATCTGTACTCTGAGATAACTTACAGTGACACTGAAAATATGCAGGATAATTATTCTTTAAAAAAAAAAGGAGAGAGAGAGAGAGATAGAAACATCAGTCAACGAGAGAGAACATTGACTGGTCACCTCTTGCATGCCCCCCACTGGGGATTGGGCCCAAAACCTGGGCATGTGCCCTGAAGGGGAATCGAACAGGCGACCTCTTGGTGCATGGGTCGATGCTCAACCAGTGAGCCACACCAGCCAGGCAGGATAATTATTCTTATGTCATGTGGTATTGCATGACAAATGGACAGTCTTATGCAAGGCAGCACTTGAAAAAGGAAGAAGGAGAGCGGAAAGGGCAAAGTGATGTAACCAGAAAGCGAGCAAAACATCTGCACATCATTCATTTGGTTAGGAAACTTGTCCATGTTGACTTTAATAAGAATGTGCAGTGAAATTATACTGGGTTAGTTATTTTCTTAGAACACTATGCACTTAATCTGTAAAACCTGATACCTAGTATAAGTTAAAAAACTTGCCCTGGCCGGTTTGGCTCAGCGGTTAGAGCGTCGGCCTGCGGTCCAGAGAGACCCAGGTTCAGTTCCCGCTAAGGGCACGCACTTCAGTTGCAGTTTGTCCCCGGCCCTGGTTGGTTGTGCGGGTGGCAGCCACTCGACGTGTCCCTTCACGTCGATGTTTCGCTCTCTGTCTCTCTTCCTCTCTCTCCCTCCCACTCTATCTGTACAAAAAATGGAAAAATGTCCTCGGATGAGGATAAAAAAAAAAAAAAAAAACTTAAAAAGAACCAATAAAGCACACACAAATCCATCTTCAAGGCAAAATATATTTCAAGAATTTCTTAGGAATGAGTATGAAAACCTCCCAAAAGAACTGATCACATTAGGCAGATAAGATCAAAGATCACTCATTTGATCCATCTAAGTGGATGGATAAGAATACTCATAAGAATTTCTCCATTTCTAAAAGACACGAAGATTATCAAAGTGTAGTGCTCCTAGGTCTAGTATTCAAAAATTTGGTGTGATGCCTGTTCTCTGCATAGTCATAAGGGCTGAGCACTAAATATTTTGATAGCTCACAGAGCAGT